TTTTTATAAGGTTAACTTAACTGAATAGATTCATTATGCTTCATGTTAATTAGGTTATTTTGCATAGCTTCTTGCTTGAAATTGCCAGGGATGCTTTAACTTACAACATTAACTTATTGATTACTTTAGAATCTATTGATATTATTGACAGAAAAGTCTGCTGATTCAGTAAGAACTCTGTGATTAGTAAAATAATTTGGTAAAATTTGATCTAATTTGATCATTCCTTAGTTTTTATTCGACATCTGCTTAACTTATTCTGTTTCACACCTTTCAATTAAAGCATTATTACCTTGTGTATTTAATCTTAAATTCTTCTTTTGTTAAATTTCTTATTATTATCTATTTTAGCAATTATTTAAGCAAGCACTTATGCTTCTGTTGTTTTTTTTAATTTGCTAATTATCGAAAACTTTATTTTATTCTTCGAACGAATCTATTTGTAAAATATTCTAGCTAAAGCTACTGTTAGTACTTTACCTTTTTTATTGAATCTAATCAGTTTATTAATAATAATTATTATTAAAATTAAATTCATTTTCTTGATTATTTTCTTATATTTAATTCTTGTTTAGAACAGAGGGATAGTCGCTTTAGAATTTTTAAATTTACTAAGAAAATTAGTTGATTTGTTCAGCGAGCATTTAATGTTTTTTGTTAATTGAAGTTCTATGCTAACTTGAAATGAATGAATTTTTATGTGAATTAAATTGACTGCAAATATCTTCTTACTCGTTATTAAATGTATTATTAACAATATTCTATCGATTCGACAATACTGCAAATGAAAAGTGTTATCCACATTCTATTTTCTTAACATATTTATCTTCCATATTTATTTGAATTTCCTAAGGATAAGCTTATTATTGATGGCTTGGATGCAATCCTAAACCTAATTCTCCATTGATATTTTATCCCCAAGAATAAGCTTTTCCTTAATCATCTGTCAGACAAATAAAATTATTCCCTTAACTGAATCCTTTCCAAAAAATGCCATCAGTCTAAATTAATTATGGCTCATCAAAATACCCAAAGAAAGCTGTGCCCCAAACATACCTAAAAAAATATTCAAAATTAACAAAACAAATAAACCAAATAAATAATAAATTATATAATTATTTTATATTAATTTTCTCTAAAAAATAAAATACAATCTCCCGTCATCTGTAAGAGCTATTGAAGAAGGAGCATATCCAGCCTTAACAGAAATAATTCTTGAGTTATAAAGATTAGAAGATATTTGGTGTTATTATTTTATGCGAATTTTAGTTAGATAAAGACTCGATTTAACCTCTTAGCCAGTTCCTAGTTAGCCAAAAGAATTGTTACCACAAGCAAATACTTCTCCTTGGTCTGTTAGAAAAAGCGTGTGATTATCACCACAGCTGACTGATTTTAGATGTCCTTCAAATGATGGAAGAGGTATTTCAGCAGGACAATACTCAATTACTCTCCTTCCAGTACCAAGCTAGCCTTGTCTACAGTCTCCAAATCCATATGCCTTTTATCCTTTTGATGCAAATAAATTAATTTGAATACTTAATTTATTAATCAAAGAATTATATTAAACCTGATAATAATATGGTATTTTTTTTGCCACAGCTTATGTTTCTACAGCTAAATACTTCCAATTGAGTCGGGGAATAAATGTTTTCTTGCTTTCCAGTGCCTAATTAGCCTTCGATTCCTTCTCCCCACAAAAATACAAATCCCCTGCTGCTTATAGCTCCGCTATGACCTCCACCACAAGATACTTTAACAATAGTATGTCTTTTTTAATTTTTTTGATATTTTTTAGACAAAACAAAGATAAAAATGTGTTAAAATGTAAATTTAAATTAATTTACTTTCCTAGCGATTCCAGCAAAACAGGCACAGACCTAGATAATGTCTCCTTTGATCCTATACCTAGTTAACCTTGTTTATTACTACCTATCATATAAACATTTCCATTATGAGCAAGAAAAGCTGAGTGCTCTAAACCGCAAGAAATCTACTAAATTGAAATGTTAAAGCAGCAAAACTTTGGCGAAAAGTAGCAATTCCCTCCTTTTAAAAAATAATTCTAATCAACCTTTATTGATTGATAATTATTTAAATTTTACCCTGTTGTTTTTAGCCAAGACCCAATTATCCATGTGAATCATCTAAAAAAAACAAATATTTAATAAACAGATTGGTTAATTTTTATAAAATATAAATGCAAATAACTACATCCCCAAACAAGCAACTGGGTTTGATCCTACTATGCTGACTTCTATTCTTTTTAGCTGCAGTTTTACGAGTGATTTGGTTATATTTGCTTATAATTTTCCTAGTAAGAAGTATTAAATGAACTTTTATTAGACGATTTATGCATTGCTTTATATATTATATCTCAAAAATTGTGTTAACTAATAATAATCAGTATTTAGTATAAATATAATAAATAAATCATATTACAAATTCAAATCAAAATTGTCATTAAAAAATTAAAGCCTATTTATTCGTTACTTGCTAGATAAAAACAAACAATTTGAAATTAAGATTTTTCTGAGTGTTATCTATAAAATAATCAAACAAATATTTTAATAATAAGGTCAATTTATTATTTTTAACTAAAATCTATTATATATATATATATAATTCTAATAAGTAAACAGCTTCATCTAAATAAAAATAAAAAGCATAATTAAGGATTTTACTTCTAAATTTTTTTAGCTATTTTAGATTATTTTTTGATAGATTGTTGTACTTGATACTTATAATATATACTAATACATTTTATTTTTGAAGAAATATTTGTTTAATAATTAAACTATTTTATAAGATTTTCAGATAAAATTAAATTAAAAGCAGAATTAAAAAGTTAAATTATTATTATTTAAAATTATAATAATAATAATTTTTTTTGGAGAAATGAATTAATTGGTTTGTGTGATATTTCATAATACAAATTATATATTAGATCATATAAAAAGTAGACTATTTTTATGAAAAAATATAAAAATTGAATGCAAATAACATTTTTATTTGAATTATTGCATTTTTAAAGAAGGAGGAGAAATCATTTTAAAGTAATTTTTAAATTAAACTTTTGTTTTGATTTGCGAATAAAAAAATCACCCACCGAGGGGCTCGAACCCTCGACCACCAGCTTAAAAGGCTGGCGCTCTACCGACTGAGCTAGACGGGTTTATTAACAGCTATCAAATGATTTTTAAAGAGTTGCTTTATAGATTTAATTTGGCTTTTTAGCAATCACTTAATGATTGTTGTTGTATTTTTTTAAATAATAAAATGTCCAATTAACTTAATCAGAAATAAATTTAAAATATTTAAAAATTATTCATAAAAATAAAAATATCACCCACCGAGGGGCTCGAACCCTCGACCACCAGCTTAAAAGGCTGGCGCTCTACCGACTGAGCTAGACGGGTTTTGTACTAATAACTTTCTAATTTTAAATAACTTTTATAAATTAAGTAGCTTCAAACCATACTATTTTGCGAAATTCTATCAATATAATTTCAAAATAATTTAATATTTTAAAATCTTAATTAAAATTTAAATATTTTTATTCATTTAATTTGCAAATTAAGAAAATATTAAAAGGATTTCCTAAAAAATAAATCTGACAATCCATTAACTGAGAACGACGCTATTAAAATTTTAGTTTTGATATATAAATTTGAAAATAGATTAAAAAACACAAATGAAGTTAATAAACTTTTTTATTATTTGTTATTTAAATGTTGAATTTAATTACAAAACACAAACAAAGTATTCAATAAATGTGAAAATAAACTTTAAGCAATATCAAATTTTAAAAATTCAATGCAATTTTTTGTAATTCTTGCTCAAAATAAAGCAAGTAAGCTAAGTTATTTAATTAAGCATTTATCTATTTCAAATAATATGAAATCAGTTTTCATAGAGATCATAAAAAATAATAGAAGGATGAAAGACTTATTAATTTGAGATTAGTTAGTAAAATACGAGATTTTGCAATAAAACACCATTTAAATCGCCAATACGCTATTTATTAATAGAATTTAATAGTTTGTAGATATTATCTTCTATTTATATAATGTTTTAAATAAGCATAAACACATCATTTTCGAGTAGCAGGCTTAAAATCTTAAAAAAATCAACTGTTTTTGTAATTATTGTTTTTAGTAACTAAATTTAAGGTAAAATTTTTTTATTTTTGACAATAAATTCAAAGCTTTTTACTTATATTTCTGTTTTTAATTCTACTTATTGGAAATATTTTGTTTTTTGTAATAATTTTCTCTCATAATAAAAAGAATCTATTTCAGATTTACCAAATGAACAAAGTAAAGCTTCTAAAAGATATGTTTGCTCTATGAAACCCCATGGTTAAATATAAATGTCAATTAATTTGATATTCTCAAAGCTTATAAATAACTAATTTGCTTATTAGTATTTTTAAATATATTTTTTAAGTTAATTAAAATTTTCTATTTCGATAAATTTTGGATTTTTTCCTTAAAATATATCTTTATACTTATAATATTTCTTTAGAGTTAATGAAACAGAAATTGTTATCAAGCATAAAGTTAACAACTAAAATGATACAATGTTGTCTTAAGTTATCAACTGACATAAATATATTAGCAAAATAAAGTTTCTCTGGATAAGAAAATATTTGATATAACCCAAATAAGAAATAAAATTTCTATGCTTTTATTCAAATCGAAATCTAAAGTTTTCAACTTCAACATGTAAAATAAACTTTATAAAGTCATTATTAGGGTACCAGATTTCGATTTACAAGTATTGAAGTCTTTCTTTTATTGTTTGATAAAAAGCAATAGCAAGAAATGAAAAAGAAATCAAATAGAAGATTACCAAACCAATAGAGAGCTGTATTAGTACTAACAAACAAGCCATAAAATGAAGTGATTTTATTATGGACTATTTTAGTAAAAAGCTTGGCTATTTTAATTTTGAGAAATTAACATAGCAAAACCCATCATCATCATATTCATAAGGATGAACTAATTTATAGTATAAATCTAAACCTATAGAAAATGTCATCCATAACAAATATAAGTTATTTATGTTGTCAATAAGATTGGAATATATTATCAAATAAATTATTTTTATCAAACAATAATCACAATTAAGAAATATAATTTTAAAAGATAGTGTTAAAAATTTAGGGACATGATTAAGTAGATCCTCATCCATATTGTTAGCTGATTAATTTCTTAAAGTGCAATATACTAGTATATCTTCTGAGAATGTCAAAGCACAAATAATATGAATTACTTTAATCGCTTTGTAATCATTGTGAAAATTAACTAAAACTTTATACCTTTGACAAAAGAGCCAGAATATAACAATAAAATTTAGATACCAATTAATTGCCTATTATTTTAAAAAGTTTAAATAAAATTAATAAAGAAAGGATCATCTGAAGAAAGATTTTTTACTTAAAAATTTTGAATGAGCATATAAATCAGTAGTAAATAGGATATTTTTTAATATACTGATTGAAATAATAGCAAATAAACATATTCTTTTTATCTTGCCATTCTTTGAAGTAATATCAGTATTAATTAATAATCATTAGATATTGTTTAATTAAGGATCTATCGTAGCCTATCCAATTAATCTCTGAAAAAAAGAGTCTCCTTTAAGATAATTTTTGAATAGTTTAAAAATAATATGAATCAAAATAGCAGCTTAATATGAATTTATATATATTTATATCTAACGAAATAGAATGTAACTCTTATTTCTTAAATTGCTTACTTACTCGCAATTAGGTAGGTAGGTATATGTATTATTTATTATACTTAATTATCATTTTCTTATGAATAAGATAAATATAAATTTAGCCTTTTTCTAATCAAATATATCAAACATTAAAAAAAATTGAATTTTTGATGGATATTATAGAAGAATTACTGCTTTTAATACTAATTAATGAAACTCAACAAGTTTTAATCACTCAATTAATGCAAAATCAATAAGTTAAATGAAATTATTTTTTATCATAAATCATTTTATAAATTATATTGTTTCTGATAAATTCGCATTTAAATCCATTCTGATTACATTAAATTAAAAAAAAATAATAATAATAATTAGGATTTACTGTATATTATTTATATTTAGTTCTTTTTTTTAGACGCAAAAAAATTTTTTCACTCATAATATTTATAAATAGACTTGATAAATTTATTGATAAAATGGACAATAAAATAGAATTTTTATGGTATTTAAATAGCTGGTTGACATTAATTTATAAAATAAATTAATTTTATTTAAATTAGAAATATAAATATTAGATTAAATTAAAATGAACTATCAAATCTCTTTTCTAATAGTCTGAGTATAAAATGATCTCTTAATAGTCAAAAAATGTATAATTTTTAAACGAATATTAATGAGATTCCAAGCTAATATGCATTTGAAAATTTAATTATGTTCATTCAAGTAAAATTATATTCTATATTTAATACTCAAGTCTTCATTTGCTAACTTAAATACGTTAGAATAAAGAGAAAACAAGCTCAGCAAATAAAATAATCAAATAATTAAATCAACCAAATTTGCGTTTGGTATAATTATTATTTTTTCAATATAAAAATAAGTATAGCTTTTTGGCGTTGATCTTTAGCACCACTTAAAAAAAAATAATTGAGTTAATTTATGACTTATGTTGTAGAATATTCACCTTTAAATATTTATGAGTTTGAAATTAAAGAGCTATATGTGCTTATATTTAAGGCAATTGAAATTATAAATATGGGAAATATTAATAGGATAATTTGTTTAATATATATATAACTCTTGAATGAGTATTGTATGTAAGATAAAGTGAATTACTTTTAGAGGAGTTAGTTTTAATATGCAATGAATACAGTCTATTTCAAAATTAGTAAAATGAATGAGACTCAATACTAAAAACGGTAATCTATCTATCTATCAATTTTGATTTAAAAAATATATACTAATTAATGAATGAATGAATTATTTAATTTGCTTTGTTTGTTTGTTTGTTTGTTTGATTGTTTTGATTTTAGAATGAGCTATTTAATTAATTAGCATTGAAAAAGAAACAAAAACGAAGTATATTAAATAAGGCATGAAAAACCTTTGTATTTATTAATATTAGTTAATTAAATAGGAATCTAAAGATTTCATTTGGAATGGAAAATAATTAGTAAGTCTTGGCTGAAGAAGACCAAGTTTAATAATAAGCACAAGATTAGAATTATGATGAGGAGAATTGTCTCATCAATAACGAAGAGCGAGTTAAATAAGTGGATAGCAGACGAGTTTCGTCAGCAAAAAGGCCTAAATACAATAATTATTTTGTTTAGAAAGTATTATAAATGAAGAGACCTGAAGTGTTATTAATTGTGGTTGCTTTGATTTTAACGCTTGCATGGTTCGAGATAGTTTGCTTTGTCAAGCACGACCACGATCAAATGAAGTTAAAATTGATTTAAAAGTAATAAAAGGAGCTGTCTTCATCTAGTTTTATATAATTACCTCATCAGTCTTAAGTAAAAACTGAAGGCGTTTCTGATGATATTGATTAATCAGCTGAATTAAATATTTAAAAGAGGGTTTTAAAGGATAAAAAGCAAGGCAATAATGAGAATCGCCATAAGGAAATTAACTGGGATGAACTTAAAATAAAAAAAACTCTTTTAGATTAGAAGGAATATAAATTTATGAAGTTATAAAATGGGATTAAGGTTCTTTTAATCAGTGATTTAGACACTACTTAGAGTTATGCTGCATTGGATGTAAAGATAGGATCATGGGATGAAAAAATTCCAGGCTTGGCTCATTTCTTGGAGCACATGAAATTCATTGCTACTAATTAATTCTCTCATCAAGCCAGCGGCTTCGACATGTTCCTAGCTAACAACCAAGGAAGTTCTAACGCGTAAACAAACAAAAAAAATTGACATTTTATATTATTTTCTAAAGACAAATAATATTTTTTTTTATGCTTTTTTTGAATGAGTCTCTTAACAATTAAAAAAAAAAAGTATTTATGATGATTTTTTTGTTTAATTTAGGTACACAGATGCTATTCACACTAACTATCATTACTAGATTAGCTCACTTGCATTTGAAGAGTCTTTAAAGTATTTCAGCTACATGTTCAACAAATGTGAATTTAAAGAAGAATTTGCTTTGAAAGAAATTAATGCTGTTAATAGCGAGTTTATAAATACATTGTCAAACGACAACTGGAGAATTTAGTATGTTCTAACTTTCCTTGCTAAAAAGGATACTCCTTACAATAAATTTACATGCGGTTCAAACGAGTCTCTAATCAGTGTAAATTCCTTCTTCAATTTATAAGTTTATTTTTATATTAAAATAATAAATATTTTAGGATAAATTTGACTTGATTAAAGAATTGGAAGCTTTCAACGCCAAGTATTCTGCTGATTTGATGTCTCTCGTTTTATACAGCAATCATTCAATCGAAGATCTTAAGAATTTTGTTTTTAAAAGCGATTTTGATAAAATTCCAGTGGTAAAGAACAAACCTGTCAACTTGCCTAAAGAGCCTTTCGATGAAGTAAATTTCGATCAATTTCTGTTTAATTAAAATGATATTTTAAATGAAAAAAAAATAGAATGTCTACAAAAAGATCTATAAAATCTAGCTAGAAAAGCAGGAATATAAATGCCTTTAGTTTGCTGTAATTGTAGATAATAAAGACTTCAATAATAGACATGACTTTAATGATTATTTCAAAGGAGTTTTGACAAGCTCTGAGAAAGGAGCTTTCTACCAATAAATGAAAGCTAAAAATTATATTTCTACAATTGATTTTGGAAGATTCTAAAGAACTAATCATTTTGAAGCTTTTATGCTTGAAATTAATCTCACAGACGACGGTTATGAAAACTTAGAAGAAGTAATTAGATCTTACTTCGTATTTGTCCAAGAATTCAAAGAAAACGTGTAAAAAGAAAACTTCGAAGAAATGAAGCACTTTTAATAAATTCTATTTGATTATGATTCAAATGAAGACATGTATGAAGAAAAGATTTCTGATTTCGCTGATTACATCAACTATTCCGAAGAACCACAATATTTGTTCCTCCAAACAAGATACAAAAACTTTAGAAAGAAAGACTTCTAAGCATACTTAGAAAAAATTGGAGACATTAGAAAAAACCTCATTTTTATTTCAAGCAATAACTTTGAAAACGCCAAAATCAACTCAAAGATCATCCCTTCCATCGACAATACATTTACCAAAGGAGACAAATACTTCAACACATTCTATGACGTAGTTGTTGAATTAAACGAAGAATAACTTAATTTCTTGACTACAAAAAAACCCGAAGAGCACAGCTTCCTTTACACCTTAGACCTTCAGCTAGTACCCAAGGGTAAAATACACTTCTACGATGCCACCAAAGACAATTCTTAGTTGATCGCCTAAAAAGTAGAACTACCTCTCTTAGAGCATAAAGTTCCTAATTTTATCTCTACATCAAAAGGTATATTTTAAATTATTCAATTTTAAATTCCAAATTCTTCACAGTTATTTGCATTTTCAACTGCTGGATTTTCCTAAAATATTAAATTCATTTTAAGTTATCCAGTTATATTTCTATTTGAAGACAGAATAAAAAAGTTAAAATTGCCATTTTAAGTTATAAATTCAATTTGTATTATAAGACAAAAACATCCAAAAACTCATTAAAAAAGCGATAAAATTCATTATTCTAAGTTATTTTCGTCTTCATTTGCTATTTATTAAACCCTTCGCTTTTAATAGCATTCAAAATTTTCCTTTTATTTAATTTTAAGCAAACAATTAGCAAAAATAAGTTGCCATTTTATTAAAAATTCAATTTTTAAAAATTTTATGAGAATAAAAACTTCCAAAAAGATGATAAAATCCATTTCAAATTCATTTTTCTTTATTTTTCCCCCTTTATAAACTATTTATTAAACTCTTCCATTTTATTCGCATTTAAAATTTTTCTTCATTTTCTTTAAAAAGAAACAATTTACAAATCAAAGTTTCCATTTTATTAAAATTCTCAATAAATAAAAATACATTCAAAATATCTTAAAATCCATTCAAAATTAATAATTTTTTACTTTATTTGCCTTCATTTACTATTTATTAAACACCTCGCTTTTAATTGCATTTTAAATTTTTTCGCTTTTATTTCTGTTTAAAGGAAACATTTTACAAATCAATTAAAAATATAATTTGCATAAATAAAAATATAATTTGCATAAATAAAATAAATTTCAAATAATTTTTTATTGATTAAATCTATTTAAATTTAACATATTGTTTTTTTAAAAGAAGAATACTCTTAAGATCCTTTCATGAGAAATGATAGAAATAGCATGTTCAAATTTGGATTCTCACAAGAAGCGTGGTAAAGAATATTAGAAGAGAAAAACCCAGATAACAAGTTTATTCCAGTGATGCTTATAAATAATCAAAACATCAACAGCTTTATCATGTTAAATTTCGATAAGGATGAGCCTTAAACAGTTTGCAAGTTAAAATTAATAAATAAAAGCAGAGGATTATTTAATAGCATAGAATAAACTTTCAACTCAGTCTACTTTACTGCACAAATGAGACACTTAGAGGATTAATATGCTAGTGCTTTTGAATCGAATTACGGCATTAGCTTCTAAGTTACAGATAAAGGTACTTTTAATTTCACTCCAAATAATAAAATTTTCTCTAAAAATCTTTTTTTTTGTTGATAATTTAGATGTTTAAATGTCTGTTTATGGATGGAACAGCAAATTTGAGAAGGTTGCTAGCAATTTTATGAAAAACGTTTAAGAATACTAACCTACTTAAGATGAATGGAATGCTGCAACAGACAATCTAGTACTAAAGATCCAAAAAGATGTTTCTGACTATCAAATCTTTAAGTATGCATTAAAAGAAACAATGTTCTCTTTGCTTGACAACTAATTCATCGGAAGCAAGGATAGAATCAATCTTATCTAAAACTCTAAATTGGAAGATATCGAAAAGTACAAATCAAATCTTTTCACTGCAACTAATTTAGATTTCTTATTCTCTGGTAACGTTTCACCTAAGAAATCAATCCAATACACCAACACCTTCAAGAATCTATTCCAAATCACTCAAGCAGACCCAGATCAATTAGTCGATAGAAGCTTCAACATTGTAAATCTCTAGAATAAATACTATGTTTATCAGTAAAAACAAACAAACAAATAAATAAATATTTTATAAATTAATCAATTTATTTACTTATTAATAAAAATAGACAACTCAATTCAAAGCCTGATGACACAAACAGTGCTATTGTTAATATTTACTAAATCGGCTAAAGAAGTATCAAAAATTACATTTATCTTAACTTGCTTTAAGATAAGCTAGATAGATTCTTTTTCAACTTCCTAAGAACTAAAGAAGGTTTAGGTTATGTTGCTGGATCTAATATTGCTACAATTGGCTGCGTTGACCACTTGACAGTTATTCTCTAAGGTGACTAGAAACAACCTAATGAAATAAACATCTACATTGAAAAGGGATTGAAATAATTCAATAAAATTTTGAACAAAGTAACTGAAGAAGATTTCTAAGAATCAATTACAAGTTTCAAAGCTAACATTGAAAATCTACCTGTTTCTCTTGAAGATAAAATTACATACATGTGGACCCAAATCGACAGAGAAAAGTATGATTTCGATATCAGATACTATTTCTTAAATTAATTAGAATCAGAAATTACTCTACAAGGAATGAAAGACTTCTACCACTACCACATGAGAGAATATGCAAGCAAACTAAGCATACAAGTATTCTCACAAGCAAAGCCTTATGATCTTAATGATCTCAATGTTAAAAATTACGCTAAAAATCTTAAAGAGCCAATCATCATCAAATCTAAAGAAGATATCGTCAACTTAAACCAAGAAAACCCCTACTTTAAGTGCTCCTTTAAATCTTGATTATCATATTAAAGAAGTTATCTTCTTTCATAAATTAATAGATCATATAGAATATGTGTTCTTTAATAAATAAATAAATGTTATTTTATCTTTCAATTTCAATTTACTACTTATTCAATTAATTGCTTATTTATTTATTTTATTTTCATTATGCGATTTTAAATGTTCTTGCCATTCTATCAATTTTTTTCAAAACTAGTTCAATTTCTTTATTTCTTTTATTTTTAAATTAAATTTTTAATCTTATTTGAAAATTTCATTTTTTTGCATTTAAAATGAGTTTAACAATAAAAAGCATTAATTGCCATTTTTTATCTCAAAAATTTTCAATCTAAAATTAGAGTAAATTTTATTTATTTAATTAATTAATAATTAATTGTAAATGAGGGCAAGAAACATAATTTAGCCAAAAGGCTGACTTTATAAGCGAATAAAACATTTTTTTAATTTCTTTTAAATAAATTTCTATCAATACATCACCTACCTATTAAATTTTTATATTTTTGATCAGTAAATTCAATTAATAATTTGCATAATGCTAATTACAAGAAAGGATTCTTCATTATTACAGAAGAATTTGATTAAATAATATTTATTTTTCTACTTATAATATATTTATTTCTTGCTCCAAATATAATTATGAGAGATAATAGATAGCAGTTTTAATCACTGTTTATCAATGAATTCCCAAGAATTTAGCATGAGATTATAATAGAAAAGTTTATATTATATTTAATTCTAATAAAAATATACAATAATTTTTAAGTAAATAATTGTAATTTGCTAGTGTATGAATATATTAAAAATTAAGATATATTTGAAATATAATTATGTTTTAAAAAAAGAATGAAATTGTTGAAACAATAAAAGTCATTTAAAATTTTCCTTTTGTAATAATTAATAAAGACAGTTTGGCTGGTCTATGATATTTAGTCATAAACTATGTTTTATCCAAAAATATTTAGATTAGTACAGAAATATAAAAACACTATAAATTTAATTTACTTTTAATATTAAATTAATGAGTAAGAAAAATATTTAAATAATTTTTTATAATCAATTCAAATCAAGTTTCTTAGTTAACCTCTTCATTTTAAGGACCTTTGTTCTTATAGATGATGTCCCTTATTCACTAATTAAATTATCTCTTTTAATAATTAGAAAATTTATTTATTTATGTATGCATGTATGTATGTATGGATGAATGCATATGTGAATTAATTACTTTTATAAAGCTTTAAAAAATATTATAAAATGTTGAAAAAACCAAATATTTATTATTCATATCCAAATTTAAAAATAAAAAAATAAAAAGTCAATCTTTGAATAAATAATCATAAATTAATTAAAAAAATAATCATAATAATAATTGTTGTTATTTTTCTAAATAAAATAATGTTAAATGAATTATTTTTACTCTAGGTAGAGGAATAAAATTGAGAGATTAACACACTAAGATAACCCTTAAACTAGGCCTAAAGCACCTTTGTCACCTATTCCATTATCACTTTTTATATTTAGAGAAGTATGTAAGTTAATATAATTAAGTCATTTTATTGGAAGAATAAAAGAAGTTGAAAATTTTAATTTATAGTAGAAAAAATAAATTAATCTAAAAATTATTTAAAAACAATCATTCATTCATTCATTCATTCATTCCTTTAGTCAACCAACCAACTAACAATTAATTTAATTATTCAAAAATTTTAAGTAAGTTAACAATATTTTGAATATTAAAAATTAGCTCAAATAACTAATCAAGCAAGCAAGAAAGCATAATGAGTGAAAAAATAAAACAATTTAAAATGAAAATATTATTTTTATTTTCAAACCAATTTTAAATTATTTGATTTTTTTACAAATTAAAATAATAAGAAATGTAAATTAAAGAAAATTAAAAATTATTTTACGAAAGGTAGAGTTCTAAATTTGAGAGATTAATACATTAAGCTAATCCAGAACCTAAAGCTAATGAACCATCATCGCCAATTATATTGAAGCTTTTTATATTGTAACATGAAAAAATAATAAAAAGAAAAGATAAAAATTAAAGTTTAAAAAATATTTTAAATGCAAAAAATTATAAAGGAATGAGTTTAAAAGTAAATAAATAATAAATTATTATGAACATTGATTGGAAAAAATCAAGTTAACAAGCAAATATTTTGTATGTTTTCTTTAACATAAAGTTTGCTAATTGCTGATGGATTCTTCAAATATGTTATAAAATGCAAATAAATTATTTTACTTCAGCCATAATATCAAACTTGATAAATTAGAGCACTGTGCTAAACCTAAACCCAAACTTGAAACACCCTTATCATTAATTTAATTGTCACTTTTAATAACACATAAAAAAGAACAAAATTTAATATAAAAATAATTGGGATAGAAATTTAAAGGTGAAAGTTTGAAAAAAGCGGTGATATATTTATAAATAAAAAATTACTGGTTTTAAAGTATTTTATTTGATAAAAAATTGAATATAATCAATAATAATTGATAGTTAAAAAAAATTATTTATTTTATGCTTTTTCAAATTCAAAAAGTAAAACATGATATTAATTAAATCAAATAAAAGATTTTTACCAAAGACCAAGTGTCAAAGATTATATATTAGGGTAAAAAGCTAAATGAGAACCAAAATTTGAAGTACCTTATGATGTTATTTAATTTTGGCTTTTTAATTTTTTAAAAAGATGTAAGTTTGTTAGTAAAAATAGACAAAATTATGAATAAAATAAAAGTAAAAATGGAAATATAAAATTTAAAAAAATAAAATTCAATTGAAAGAGCTAAACAAATTAATAAAAATAAGATTAATTTATAAAAAAAATAAAAATTTATTTTTCGTTTATTAGGTTATATTATAAACAGTACATATGTTAACTTGTTGCTATTAGATCATGAAAAGCATAAAATATTAAAACATAAAAATAAATAAATAAATTATTTTACTTGAGCCATAATATTAAGTTTTTGAGATTAGAGCATTTAGATAAACTAGCACCCAATTCAGATAAACCATCATCGTCTATACAATTTCCACTTTTAATTTTTGAAAAACATATTGGTTGACAAGAAAAAATTGGGATAAAAAAACCCAAAGGAAAATTACAAATTCTAAAGATAAAATAAATTTTTAAGTCAATGAATAAATAAATAAATATTATGCTAAAAAAAATAAAAATTTGCTAAGCAAAGGGCCAAGCATAAATTAAACATTTCAAATTGAGAATGAAAACTTATAAATAAATAAATATTTTAGATTTTATTAGATACCTACAATCTAATTATTTTTAATTGTATTTCAAATAACAAATGTTAATTTAGATAATTAACTATTTTACCTTAGACTTAATTCTAAAGTTGATAAATATGTGCATTTAGCTAATTTTGAACATAATTATTATACTCCCTATGAGTTGATTGAATTATTCCTTTAAATATTAATATATAAATTATTCAATAAATATGAAAAAAATTTTTAAGAAGAAAATATTAAAAATTAAAATTAAAATTTCAATTCAAAAAAGTAAATACAAATTCAAATCTCAAAGCTAATAAATGCACAATATAAATAATAATATTAAAAAAATTAGATATAAAACAAGCAATTAATTAATTAACAATAAAAATATTTTTTAAAAAAGATAAATCTTTATTACGGAATAATTAGCTTTAATGTTTAGAGTTTAGTGCACTGAGCTAAGTTAGAACTTAAGCATGTTAGGTCTCCATCACCTATTTGATTTTTGCTTTTAGAAAAAATTTGTCAGAAAAATTAAATAAAGATGAAGAATTAAGAAATTGCAAATTTTAAGTTGAAAAAAAAAAGTAAATCAAAAATTATTTTAAATTTAAAGTGATATTTGATAAAATTTGTGCTCTTATTATTTGATAAACTAATTTTTTACCTTTCAAAATAAAAATACCATGAAATAATGTTAATAAATTATGCAAATAAAAATATTTTACTAAAGTAAGAGTAATAAATTTGAGAGGTTAGGGCATTGACTTAATCCATAAACCAACTCTGAAACACCTTAGGCACCGATTTAATTATTGCTTTTATATTTAAAAAAATCATGTGAGTTAGTTAACTTAAATTAAAAGAGCTACAAGAAACTTTTTAATGAACAAAAAAGAATATCTTTTAATTAGTGTGAAGATTTAAAGTTGAAGAATTTTTAAAAAATTGAAATCAGATATAAAATTAAAAATTTAATTAATGGCAATATTAATTATTTAATCTAAAATAAGTAAGTAAAAAAGATAAGATTTTTATTTGCTTTTTTATCAGCTAAATAGTTTATTAATCATTTAAAAATAAATCAAAATAACATAATAAAAAAATTAAATATTTTTACAACATATCAATTATCAACTTAGTGAGATTTGTACATTAAGCAAGACCTTTACCCAATTATGAAGCTCCTTGTTTTGTTATTGAATTGTTACTTTTAGCATATAAAAAATAATTGTTAGTTAATATAAAGTGATTCCAAAAAAATAAATAAATAAAAAATGTTAATGCAAACAAAAAATCTTAAAATCTGATATATTTAGTTTACTAATTTTAAACGATATCAAAACATAGTGTAGATTAAGGCGAAATTATTAAGTATTAATTAATAAATAAACAGAAAATATGTAAAGATTTATTATTTATTTTTGCTTATTCTTTTATTAAATATATTTTACTCAAAAAATTTTATAGTTAAATGAAATATTTTACCGAAGACAGAGAGTCAAATTTTAGATTTTGGTACACTATATTAAAACAGAATTCAATCCTTATATGTTTTCATCATCAATTTAATTTTCACTTTTTATCATTTAAAGAAGAAGCGAATTATATTTAATTTCAAAGCAAGTAAATAAATAAATACAAATAGGCTAATAAATAAATAAGTAAGTAAGTAAGTAAGTAAGTAAGTAATTAAAACAATAAATTAACTCAAATAAGAAACCAATTATCATAAATGTAAATTAAAAGCATACAAAAAACTTACAAATTTTGTGTTTTTTATAATTTATTTGTTGATTTCTTCGTATAGTAATAAATATTGGTTAGATCAAATAAAAATAATTATGTTTACTTGAGCAATAGTGTCAAATCAGAAAGATTTTTGCACTGAGCTAATGTAGAGGCTAAGCATGAACTTTCTTATGAATCGATTTAATTTTTTCTTTTAATAAAAATATTAGATTTAGTAAGAAAATTTTTAGAAAAATGTCAATTAGTTTATAAAATTTAATTTAAAAATTAAATAATAATAATAAATATAAAAGAGTGTATAAAAGTTAAAACAAATTAAAAAAATGAAATAATTTAGTTTAAATAATTTATTAGTTTAGAAAATGAGTAAAATAAAGACTTTAATCAATGTAAATTGGTTTAATTCGAATTAATTTTGATAGATAAAAATAAGACAATAAATTATTATTACTTAAAATTTAATTTGATATTAGTGTGCGATTATAAATCAGAGTTTTCGAACTTTAATATTAAAAAATATTTTAATAGCTTTAATTAAGAAAGTATTAAGTGAGCTACATCTTTTAGATTATCAAATTCACTTATTTTCTATTACATTTTTTTTTCCTCTTAATTGATTGATCTATTTTTTTTTGAAAATTTATCAATTATTAATTCATTAATCATTATATTAAAAACTGTCAAAGGTAAGTAGTTAGTTAGTTAGTTAGTTAGTTAGTTAGTTAGTTAGTTATTTAATTAGCTACCAGGGTACAACTTAAATTGATTTTTTTAAATTTATCGAATATCGAATTAAAAAAATAATAAATAAGAATCTAAATTTTATTTTCTTTAATTTTTAAACCCTAATAAAAAGTTTTACTTTTCTTAAATAAAAATTATTATTATTAAAAATACTACATAAATTCTGATAGGATTCCTTAATTATATCTAAACATTTAAGAATTTTTAAATATTCTTTTTATTTTATAATCTTTATTTAACCTTTTCTTAATCTTAAAATATACTAATTTCCATTATTATTACATTTAATTAATATCTGTGATATAAAATCTTCTCATTTATTTAATTTAATAAAAGATAATTAGGCACTAGTAATTAACAAAATATTTGATTGTTTTTGGGAAAGCTCAAGACAAACTTGAGAAGAATTAGTTTATTTAAGTAAATCTATTCTTAAATTGTATTTTATTTAATAAGTTATTTATTAATTATCAAATTATGATAATTATTAATATAAAAATAATAAGTATCTACATTTTATGTTAAATATTTGATCACAGAATCTTACAAAATAAAACATATTATATAATTCAATAATTTTTATATTTATTTGTCCTTTTTTTCACCACTTTTTGAACTTTTGATCATCAATAAATTATTTAAATGACAACTTATCTTTTTAATTTGAGACACTTGCTATTTAACTTCAATTATTATGATTTCTTTATTTTGTTGCCGCTTTTAATATAAATTAGTGTAAATAAGCATATTAAAAAATAAATTAAAAAAAAAGCTAATAAATAAATGAATTAAAAAAGCTATTAATATTATTTTAAATTCATTTTTAAACTAAAAACTATCGCAATCAATCTAAAAAAAAAAGTTATTTACGCAAGGTAAAGTGATAAATTTTAGAGATTATTGCACTTTTCTAAAGCAAAGCCTAGATCTAATGCACCATCATCACCAATTTAATTAAGACTTTTTAAATATTGAAGAAAAAGTATTTAGCTAATTAGTTTGCTAAAACAAAAATGAAGAAAAAATACGAAATAATAAGAAATGAATTAATTTACAACAAAAGAAAATATTGAAAATGAAAAAATGAGTTAAATTAGCAAAGAAAGAAAGAAAAGAAAAACACAGGCAGAATAAAAAATAGAAAAAATTAATCTAATAAAAATATAATAAATAAATAAATAAAATAAAAGAGTTAGTTATTTTTTTCAACTCATTTTTATATAAAAAAATATCACAACCAGTCCAAAACAAATAAATTTTTTTTACTAAAGATCAAGTGTCAAATTTGAGAGATTAGTGAATTTTCCCAAAGCAGAGCTTAAGCATGATGCACCCACTGCACCAATTGTATTACCACTTTTTAAATATTGAATAAAAAATGTAAAATTAATTAGAGTATTATGCTAAATCGATATACAATAAGCAAAGTTTAGTGTTTTGATTTCATTAAGATAATTTATTTACAGATTTTTTTGGGATTATTTAAATTTTTGATTAAAATTCATGCAAATTCATTCGTTTCATTTGAAATTTCTAAGTATTTACTTATTTAATTTTATTCATAAGTGAATAAAATAAATATTAATGAATTTTTAATTAAAAAAATTATGAAAAACAAACTAAATAAATGAGATTTTCTAAATTTAATCTAATTTTTTTCTTCAAACACTAAACATTTGTTTATTTATATTTATTTTGATAAAATAGTCGTTATAATAGCCTATCTAAATGAAAAAGGTATATATTTAACTCTAGTTTTCTAAAAGGAGGATATAAGAAATTAGTTAATATAAGTTGAAAATGAAAAATTTAGTTAAATCAAGAAACAAACAAATAAACAAAGAAAAAAAAATCACAATAGAATAAAAAAAATAAAAAATAAAGAAAATAAATGGTTAATAAAAAAATAAATAGAGTTTTATTATTTTAAATTATTTTTATGTTAAAAAATATCACAATCAATCCTAAAAAATAAACTATTTTTACATAAGATAAAGAGTCAAACTTTAGAGATTAGTGCATTTTCCTAAAGCAGAGCCTATGCCTAATGTACCTTCATCACCAATTTAATTGTTACTTATTATAAAAAAGGAAAAAATATAGATAATTTGTTAGTTAGAAGGAAAAAATAAAGAAATAATATCAAAACATAAGATTTAATAATAAAAGAAAAGGTTGAAAATTAATTATAAAAAATGAGTTAAACATCATAAAATAAAAAATAATCAAAATAAAAGAAATAAAAGCAAATAAATAAATTAAAAGTGTTAAATATATTGTTATATTTTCATTTTTATGTTAAAAATTCAAAACAAATAAACTTTTTTTACGAAAGATCAAGTGTCAAATTTTAGAGATTAGTGCATGTTCCTAAACCAGAACCTAAGCCTAAAGCACCAACTGCACCAATTTAATTTGTACTTTTTAAATATTGAAAAAAAACAAAGAGTTAATTTAATTTGTAAGCTAGTTTGAAGGAAAAAATGAAGAAAAAATAAGAAATATTTACAAATGAATCTATTAAGTAGTTAATAATAAGATAAAAGAAAAATAAAATCAAATAAAAGCTAGAAAATTAATAAATTAATTAAAAGAGCTAGTTAAATTGTTCTAAATTCATTTTTATAATAAAATATATTACAATCAATCCAAAACAAATAAACCATTTTTACCTAAGGTAAAGTGTCAAATTTTAGATATTAATTAACTTTCCTAAAGCAGAACCTAAGTTTGATGTGCCTTCGTCACCAATTTAATTGTGGCTTATTAAATATTGAAGAAAAAGTGTATTACTAATTAGTTAGTTAGTTAGTTATTTAGATGAAAAGATGAAGAAAAAATACAATAATAAGGAATGATAGAATTAATTAAAAATAAAAGAAAAGCTAGAAATTAAAAAATGAGTTAAATTAATAAATAAACAAAAAAGAAATAAAAAAAAT